CAATAACCATCATCATCATCATCATCATCATTATAACCATAATAATCATCACCAGCATCATCATTACCATCATCATCATCATCAGTCAACATCATCATCAACAACGTCGTCATAACCATCACCGTCATCATCATCGCCATCACCATCGTCATCATCATCATCATCATCATCATCATTACCATCATCATCACTATACCCATCAACATCTTCATCATCACCAGCATCATCACTATACCCATCATCGTCACCATCTACAGCCACATCACTGTGATGCACCAAAAATGACGACGTTTATTTCTTGTATTAGAATTTAGGTTAAAAATAGGCCGTTGCATCACTGTTGTCATTTTACTACCATTACCAGAATTTAACTACCTTCACAGTATCGTCCAGTGTAGGGCCAGGAGCAGCTACAGTACAAAGAGCTACCTCTGTAGATACAGCTTCCACCGTTGAAACAGCCACACACTAAAATACGAAAATAAAATACGGATCAGCCTATTGAACATCAATGATGCGGACTTCAATACTTGTATTTACTATATAACCCTGTATAAGGCAGAGGTCAACGACCCACTCAAGACGCTGGTGAGGACCATTTTCAGTGCCTGTTAAAAACTGTTAAAGCGTATCTGTACTCAAGGGAAAAGTTTATAACAATAACGTAAGAAACACGAGAAAGGTGATAGGATAAGGGTGTTAACAACAATGAAGCAGCCGCCATGATTGATGAACTAACAAGAGAATCTAATGAGAAATGGTACAAAATTCGCCGCTGTTAAAGTTTGGAATGATATACCCATTGAGATTAAAAATAGTTGTTCACTTAAAGCCTTCAAGAAGAATTACAAAAAGTATTTGCTTAACTCAGATGAATGATTGTTTAAGAACATTTAATTACTTGATTGTTTTTTTTTTGTTTTTTTTTCGCTAATTACATTTTTAAATCATCATTTTTCCTATTTGCCTTTGCATAATCAAGAGTCCGTAACGTTATAATGACCTCTTATATCAAACTACTGATTTTTTCTTTTTTTTTCCTGTACGTTTATTTTGTTTAATGAAATTTCTAGTTGTTCAACTACGAAAACTACTGTACTATATATGATTCTTCCCATCTTACATATATGTAAATATTACTCATTTTCGTCTTAAGGGTGTAAGAGCTTGTTTAACCTCTGAGGTTGTTCTCTTGCACCCCCCACAATATTTGTAACTTATTCAATTTATGTATGTATATATATATTTTTTGTGGAAATAAAAAACTGTTGTAACTGTTGTATGTTTTGTTATCGTCAACCAACATGAACGGTACGGCTCGGCTTCGCCTCGTGAAACATCGAGACTCTTGGGAAAACAAAACTATTTCCATCGTGACCAATCATTAATTGTATATTATTCAACATAGTAGAGGAACCGTAAAGAGGACTATTCCTTTGTTTTGTATTCTAAATTGAGCTGCATCGACGTCAAATGCAAGGGGTCTATTAGCTTTGCATTATGTTAACGTTTTCCCCAATAATTGTGTAGATATATACACACTTCTTGTGTGCTCGTTTTTTTAAACTGGTAAACGTATCTGAATAATAGGAAAAGTAATACCTTCACAGTATTTCCCTGTGTACAGCCATGGACAGCTACAGTATGAACTTCCAGGATAACAGCTTCCACCGTTCAAACATCTACATGCTGAATGATGCAATGAAAATAAAGCGAATCAGAACGATTAAATCCACGTTTATGCTGTAAAACGAGGCACGCAAGGCCGGGAGACTTGGGATATGATATGCAGCTATATCAAACGAGGCTGGTGAAACTTTTGTTGCATGTGAATGAGTGAACTTTATATCAAGAGGGTAACACATGACAGTTATAATTCAAAAAATCATACTGATAACCCATTAAGTGCACTACGGGCAATGTTAATACATCACCGTTGAAAGGTATGTACGTTTTTAAGTTTTATATAGATATGATGCATTCCAAGCTTTAGTTGAAGCAACATGCAACGTGTATACAACAAAATCTTTAGAAGCCTTTTTTGAAATAGTACAGTTCCATATTTTATGAATCCTACCGGTAGGAATACTTGTTGATGGAATATTTGATGATGGAGTACTGGTGAAGCGGTCGATTATTTTTGTCCTTGGAATCGAACTGCTTGATGAGACTAAAAAAACAGAGAGAGAAAATTATACACACAGCAGAGAAGAGAAGAGAAGAGAAGAGAAGAGAAGAGAAGAGAAGAGAAGAGAA